TCTCTCCCTCCCTCCCTCCCTCTCCCTCCCTCCATCTGTTCCTCTGCTGTATCTACCCGTCATGCGTGTCCCCTGCACTGTATATTATTATGACCATTACCTTGTCACGTGACTCACACCCCCCACTTCTCGTGTCCCCCCTCGCCAGGTCCTGGAACAAGAAGTGCGGGAACGAGGCAAGGATCTGCTGGCGCTGCAGGCACGGACCCAGGAGCTGGGGGAGCGGCACGGGGCCAGGCAGCTGGTGGCCGCCGGCCTTGACCTCTCACAGCTTGACCAGAGGCACCGGGCCCTTGTGACGCAGCTCTCCCTGCCCGCCACGCCCAGCCCGGTGCTAGAGGAGAAGGTGGAGGCGGTGATGGTGGCTGCCTCGGCTACAGCGCCTCTGGCGGCTACACCGGCTACTGTCGTGGCTACTTCGGCTTCGTCGCCTGTGGTGGCTACATCGGCCACTGTCGTGGCTACATCGCCTGCGGTGTCTACTTCCCCCAGTGGTGTGGAGCAGACGGTGACGAAGACGACTCAAGTGAAGGCGTACGCCGTGTCGGAGAGGTGAGAGGGTGGATTTTGTTGTTGTTGTTGATAATAATGAAGATCATTTCCATAGCGCCCACTCCCGTGTAAACACAGCTCTAGGCGCTTAACATAAATGCATGTGCAAACAATATTCACGCACGCTACACACACACACAATTCACACACGCATACACACACACACAAACATTCACACATAAAATATACACATACACACACAAACACACACATACACACTCACGAACACATAAGACGCATACATGTGCACACACATGTATGCCAAACACACACACACATACACACACACACACACACACACACACACACACACACACACACATCTACTTGCTTATCACACGCATACGCTTACACATCGTCACGAAATGAGCATAAAATAATATATACACTGCAATTCACAAAATACATAAATGGATACATAGACATTTACATAACATTGTATTGAACATTAATCTACTGACATAAAAAGGATGTCATTAAATGTGTCTTTAAAGATTTTTTTAAATTTAGACTCAGATGTTGTATGTCTCAAGGGTTGGGGAAGAGAGTTCCAAACTGATGGAGCAAGGTGGGCGAACGATCTTTCAGCTAATTTTTTACCCCCTTTTCTAGGAACTCTTAAAAGATACTGATCGCCTGATCTTAGTGATCTGGATGGACTATAAATCTGGATGAGATCACTAAGATATGAGGGAGCTTTGTTATTGACATATTGTTACCTATATCCCAGCAGCTCTCGTCGCTCGATCTGTTATTTGGTTACGTCAGTGGTGGGGAGTCAGAGAGGGGGAAAAGAGACAAGGGTGGGGGAAATGAGTAGTTAGATGTGGGCCTGAGAGATTGTTGTTGTTGTTGTTGTTGTAGTTAGATGTGGGCCTGAGAGATTGTTGTTGTTGTTGTTGTTGTAGTTAGATGTGGGCCTGAGAGATTGTTGTTGTTGTTGTTGTTGTTGTTGTTGTAGTTAGATGTGGGC